TCATTTCTGGAAAATTGGTTGAGTTCTTCTTGCATTGCATTGATCCAATCAGAATCAGCTAGAGCTTCTTCAATATTCTTTGGTTCCACTTGTGAGATGAAACAAGCAAGCATAGCTTCTAGATTCTGTTGGGCACTCCTTGTGCGAACACCAGATTGAATATCTCCAATGATCTGTTGAGGAGGATGATCCCTTAACCAACGAAGATTGTGTTGATTGGGATTGACTGGTTGATCTAGTTCAGCTTCTGGTTGAAGAACAGAAGTTGTTGGTGTTTCCGGATGGATTGGCACTGGGTCGCCATTTCCGGAATTGTCGCCGTTTGAGAGATCCGGGATATTGGAAGGCTGGCCAAAATTTCCGGAAGGCTCACCACTGTCTGAATCTGGATTTCTCTGTGAAGTCTTCAGTGGTAGACTTCTGAATGGAATGAACTCCGTAGGCTTCATTCTATCTTCTTCATTGACTTCTTCATCCTTGTCTGATAGATCCAGAACCTCATGATCATGCTTTGATGGCTTGTCAACCACATGTTTTTCATCAAAAGTAACATGTATTGATTCTTCAGTGATCATGGTTCTTTTGTTGAAGACTCTAAATGCCTTGCTCACCATGGAATATCCTAGGAAGATGGCCTCATCTGATTTCTCATCAAAAGTGTTCAGATGATTCTTCCCGTTGTTTTACACAAAGCACTTGCTCCCAAAAATATGGAAATATGATATATTAGGCTTTCTCCCGTTCCATAGTTCATAGGGAGTTTTGTTGTGCCTTTTATAAATCATACTCCGATTTTGAGTATAGCAAGCCGTGTTAACAGCTTCAGCCCAGAACCTCTTTGGCAAGGAAGCTTCAGCTAGCATGGTTCTTACTGCTTCCTTCAAGGTTCTGTTTCTTCTTTCAGCTACACCATTTTGTTGAGGCGTTCTTGCTGCAGATGTCTGATGAAGAATTCCGTTTTCTTCACAATAATGAATGATGATTTCATTCAGGAATTCTGTGCCTTTGTCAGATCTGATCTTCTGAATGGTCTGACTTGCTTGGTTTTGAATCAGCTTCATGCAGTTAGTGAGTTTCCCTTGAGTCTCCTTCTTGCCGTTGAGGAAGATTGTCCACGTGTATCTTGAGTAATCATCAACCACCACCAGGACATATTTCTTTCCACTTAGACTTATTGGTGTAACAGGGCCAAATAAGTCCATGTGAATAAGACTTAATATCCTTGTAGTTGAGGGTGCCGATTTTGCCTTGAAAGTGGACTTGACTTGCTTTCCTTTCTGGCAAGCATCACAAATGCTTTCCTTCCTGAATACAGCTTTGGGAAGACCTTCTACTAACCCTTCTTTGGACAGCTTGTTGAGAGTTTTGAAGTTGAGATGACTCAACCTCTTATGCCAAAGCCATAGAAGGTTTGTGTCACCTTTGCTGATTAGACATGCTTCCTTGACATTGTCCCACATTACTTCATAGATGTTTCTGATTCTCTTCCCAGTGAGAATGACTTCATTTGTGGAGATGTTCTTTAGAGATGCCATGTCCTTGCAGAATTCCAAGGAGTAACCTTTATCACAAAGTTGACTTATGCTAAGAAGGTTATAATTGAGACCTTCAACATAAGATACAGCTTGGATGGTTAGTCCCTTGTACACCAGATTTCCTAGCCCTTTAGTAAGGCCAAAATCATTGCTTCCTCCAAAAGTAACTCTTGGACCATCATAAGGAATTAGATTGCTCAAAAGGCTCGCATCACCCGTCATGTGTCTTGAACAGCCACTGTCTAAGTACCAGACAACACCTGGGTACTTAGCAGCTTCCTGTATTAGGAGGAGGAAGATTTTGGTACCCAATTAAGTTTGGGTCCAGAGTAGTTAATGGTGTGTGTCCCTACATCAAGTTTGAAGTTGCAGGGGAATTTTCCTTGCAGCTCTAAACTTGTTGGGATTGTAATCATAGTTGTAGGCATAAAACTTCCTACGTGCAGGAGGTGTAATTTCCTGTTTCCTCCTAGAAAACCTAGGTTGGTAAGACCTATAGTTTTGTCTAGGTTGTGCATAGTGTGACCTGTGTCGGTTATAAGCATACTTAGGTGGCACAAATAGTTTCTGGGGTGGAGGATAACTATATCTTGGCATAGTTCTCCACTCAGAATTTCTTGGAAAACTCCTATCTACCCCATAATGAGTATAGCCTCGTGTATAGTGGGGGTTAGAAGGTTTTCTTCTGAAATTATTTCCTTTTTGAGGTCTGTCCAGCTTCCTATAGTTCTTAGGAGGGACAACCTTTTTGGGAACTTCTGTTGGTTTCTCCTTTTCCTTTCCTTTGTGCTTATTTGGTTTAGCAGTAGGTTTAGGAGGGATGAAAGTTGTTCTCCCTTTCCTTTTGGAATTAGAGGGGTCAAACCCAAGTCCTTTATGGTTGGTTGGTTGTTTGTTTCAAGAAGCTTATCCACTGCTTCTTTGGACTTAAGTATCCCTAGTTCTTTGTTAAGGGATTTCACCTTTTCAGAGAGAGATTCATTTTCAGTCCTGAGTTGAGTGATCTCATCCAGTTGACTTTTCCGACCTTCAGTCAATTTGAGATTCTCTTCACTCAGTAGTTTGTTCTCCTCTGTTAAGGATAAATGTTTGAGATTTATTTCCTCAAAATCTTCCATCATCTTTTTGAACTGGTCAAAAAGATTTTCAGAAGTTGGTATGCTTTCATAAGAAGATGAGCAGGAGGTTTGTGAAGTTACCTCTTGATCCGCATCATCTTTGGCCATTAGGCAGAGATTGCCATCTTCTGACATAGTCCACCTATCCTCATGGTTGGACTTCTCAGCTCTGCGCTCCATGCAGACGAGGGCTTCTTCATCCGAGCTTGAGCTGGATGACTCGTCACTTTCAGCAGCAACCATTGCCTTCTTTTTCTTCTCGTTCCTTTCTCTTTCTCCGTACTTCTCCACCTTTGGGTACGGGCATGCTGACTTCCAGTGGCCAGGCTTCCTGCAGTTATAACACAGATAAGATTCAGGAGGAGAGTCACTTACCTGTGGCTTTCCCTTGGATGGCCTTCTGACTGAGTCAGTCTTCTTGAAGAACTTCTTGAACTTCCGGAATTGCTTAACCATCATGGCAAATTCCTCATCGCAGTTCTCCATTTTTGAGCTTGACGGCTGGCTGGAGGATGGTGTGTCACAGTTCCTTGGGCATGTCCCTTCACTTGGTGGGACTCTTGGAGTTGTCATCAGTGCCGTGGGGAAGGGAGTGACTTGTTCTTCCTTCTTTTTCTTCAGCTCGTGCTCATAGGTTCTGAGCTCATCAAGGAGACCTTGGACAGTGTAGTTTTCCAGGTTTCTTCCTTCTTCCATGGCTGTGGCTTTGGTGTACCACTCGGTTGGAAGTGATCTCAGTAACCTTACATTCTTTTCTTTGGGAGAAAGAACGTGGTTAAGTGAGGCAAGATCATTCAAGATTTTGTGGAATCTTTTATCAACATATCGAATGATTCTCCGAGAAGCATTTTGAAGCTTTTGAACTTCTCAAGCAGGACCTCTATCTTCTGCTTTCTCAAGTCTTCTGATCCCTCACACAGCTTCCCAAGACCTTGCCATATCTCCATGGCAGTCTTGAGATGCTTGATTTTGGAGAAGGTGATGGGATCAAGTGTCTTGAAGATGGCTGCTTTGGCGACGTTGTCCAGATTGTGCTTTTTACAATCTCTATCATCCCATTTCTCTTTGGGCTTTGGAATGTACTAGACTACATCTGGAGTTGCTGGATTCCTCTCAGGATTCTCCATTTGGATTTTCAAGGGTCCATCCTCAAGCACCATCCACATGCAGTCATGTAGAGCGTAAAGATGTGCTTCCATCATGATCTTCCAATCATCATAACCTAGAAGAGAAAACTTGGGCAAACCGTGATCCATATTGTTCACCATTATGATCGCTTCTCGTTAATCTAAACGTAGATAGTGAGAAGTATGCTCTGATACCAATTGGTGGTCCCAAAGTGGTGAGATACAAAGTCTAGAGGGGGGGTGAATAGACTTTGTTACAAATTTGAAAAACTTTTTCGTTTCTTTTGAAAACGTAAAAATGAGTGTTAATCTAGAGTTCTTGTGAACTTTAGATTGTGTGCGGAATTTGGTGGGTAGAGTGAGCAGTAATCAATATGGATGGGTTAGATTTCACAGTTAATATAATTGCAAGTAAGAGTAAAGATAAAAGAGAGAGACATGCAAACTTTAACGAGGGTCGAAGGTGGGGTAATCCTTCTACGTCCTCAAAATCCACAATGTAGTTGGTTGTTGAATAATGAACCAACAATTACACTTGTGTGAATTTCTGCACGGTATATCTTCGCAAGGCCAATGTTGCTACTGCACTCGTGCTGGCTTTGTTGTTCCTTCGAAGGTCACGCTTTTTCAACAACTGCAAGGTCCGAACAATAGGACTTGCAAGACCAACTTGTAAGAAAGTTGACCTACCCCCTTTTTAATCAAGAAGTTTGATCAAAAAGTTGTATCATTCAACGTGGTGTGGTACTTGAGGTAAGGAGACCTTCAAGTGTTTACACTATAGCTCTGTGGAAGGAGGAGAAGTTTGCTTCTGGATAAGGAGTTTAGAAATCTCTCTTTATCAAGCTTTTTGGGCTAAACTGTGAATGAGATAGCTTTGTTGTTAGAGGTTGCTCGTTCGTATATGTTTTCACTCATTCATTCATACTTCCTCCAGTCTTCCAAGGATGCTATTTATAGCTGGATTGGATAATCTATCTGTTGAATCATAATAGACTATCCGTTGCATTTGTTGGCTTCAATTTTGAATGAAGATTGTGATTTGAAGATTCTTCGTTGTAGTGGGTGTTTGGACATACCCAATTGTTTGAGAAGTGATTCCACTTTCACAGAAACCGTCTTCTAGCTGTTGTTCAAGAATTCTGGACTGTAGCACTTTACTCTGTTTGTCTTCTAGTGCTTGTTTAGGAATTCTGGACAGGCTCTTTAATTTTAGAGGTCCAGACTCTGTCTTCGAGTCATTTGTTCTTGAATCAGCATAAATATCTTCAATCTAGCCGTTGAAAATCAAGAGATTGATTCTTACTTACCAACGGGTAGAATTTCTTTATTCAAGACTTAGATAACTTTTTTTCTAAGTCTTTTCTCACTTGTCCGCTTTCTAAGAATTCCGGTCTTCAATGAGTCTTCCGATTCTTAGCTGACAAATCCGGAGGAGTCGTTCTTAGTCTTCCGGGTGAGAAAGAGATCTGCACTAGTCTTCCGACTTAGATGACTTAGCCTTCAGCGGGTTGTAGTCTTCCGGATCAAAGGATTTTCATCTATTTGAGAAATCCTTGTCTCTGACATTTTCGATCAAGATATCCAATTTCCATATCACGAATTTGATTAAGTCTTCAGGCATCAAAACGCTTAAAGAAATATCACAACTTTATTGGAAATCTCAAGAACTCGGTTTTGACAATATTTCTAAAAAGAAAAATTACATTGAATATTGGGGGAGACCTAAAGTCCCTATTACATTCTAAATACATCATCATCAAAATCTATAATATTTTTCCCAACAATGCTAAAAACTAATGACGATTGAAGCATGAAATACCTAGAACAAACCTAGGATCTGACCTGAAGGGAAATAATGGCAAGACCTGGCATAAGTTCGTAAGTTAGAGTCATGTGGTACCTGCTGGGTCCAATGGCTGTCCGGGTAAAAACGTGTACACGGGGATCTAAGAACTGTCGTTCCGAAGGGGACAGGGATCTCACCCACCCAACGAGGAACTCTCGAGTTGGTTGAGCTTGACCTTCGTTCCGAAGGGGAAGGTCATGACTCCATAGGCAAGTCGTATACAGTTAAGCTTTTACCTAGCCTAGGTTAAGAGCCGAGCACCGAAAGAACGTAGGGTAGAGGATAATGGAGAAGTTACCATTGTATCCTTGTGATTTGTAATTCTTTAATGATGATGTTTATTACAACTTTAACATTGTGTATGTGGCTTGAATATGTTGAGCATGTTGTGTGCATGATATCGTATGAGGATATGGACTAGTGGGTTTGTGTATGTGCATAGTCGAACGTTAGATAGATTCCACTCAGCTTCAATGCTGAGCATGTAGCCCTTTTTCCTATTTGCTACACGTAGGTAACAGGAACGATAAATAATGAGACGGTCTTGGAGGCAGCGAGGGCGAAGAGATGGATGGATGCTGGCTGGAGGAGTTATATGATTTAATATTTAAGTTTGAATTATTGTGTTTTTAAGGGCAAGAACCCAAAGTTGTATTTTGATTAAGTACTTAAAGGCTTTCGCACCGTTTTGATTTACTCTGATGGATAATTAAATATTGTTTTGAATTAAATGTTTTAAAATTGTTTTGGAAATTATTGCGTATGAAGGCCAATTTAGTGACAACCCGATCCGCTGGTCGTTGTATTCGGGTCACGCGGGTTGGGGTGTTACATTTTGGTATCAGAGCCTGGTTTTAAAATCGGTCTTCGGACTCTTTCAAAAAAAAGAGATTTCAAAAAAAAATGTTTCAAAAAAAAATGTTGATTTGGTTACAAGGTACTTCAGCAGCAGCATCCGCGTCTCTCGCAACTCTTCTGCTCCAGGACGTAAATCTAAATCTTTATTATGTACTTATGTGAAAATTATTGTGTCTGAATACAAATTTAGTAGCAACCCGATCCGCTGGTCCTTGTATTCGGGTCACGCGGGTTGGGGTGTTACAGCAATATTCCTGAGCTCTTGACAATATGCAGCCATGGGGGTAGATCCTTTGACGGTGGTGCGAAATTGATGCTCGAGTTGCATGGCTCGAGCGTGCTTATTGTCGTGAAACAAATCGTGAATCATCTTCCAGAAAGCTGATGCAGTAGAAACAGAAGAGAGAACGAGATCAGACACCTCATCTGTGATGGTGGAGAGAATCCATCCCTGGAGAATAGCATCAAGTTGGAACCATTCGTCGTCTTCGTCGGAGATGGGAGCAATAGAGCCATTGAGATAGCCATGGAGATTGAACCGACGTGCAAGAAGGAGGAACAAGCGGCTCCACTTTTTATAGTTTGGTTGAGAAAAACTGAGTTGAATTGGAACATGAAGTTTGACATTTGAGACGGAGAAAGCAAGATGGGGAGGTTTTGGGCTGGAGGATTGAGATGTGATCTCACTGTCCGTCATGGTGGAGGAGGAGCTGCCGGCCGAAGGAAGAGGGAGGAGGAGCGGCGGCGCTGCTGTTCGGCAAAGGGAGGAGAAGGCCGAAACAAGAGGGAGAGAATATTAGGGTTTTTGGTGTGGCTCTGATACAATGAAGAATTATATTTTCATTGATTAATTATGTGAGGAGTACATGTATATATATATACAACATCTCAATCCTAGTTATGGTAGGAGAGGTATTCTAGGAAAGCTATACAAGTATGGAAACAAATCATAATACAATAATATTAAATATATTTAATATATTTAACAGTTACTTCTTGAATTGGTTCTTGGATGTAGTCAACAAAGTTAGCTCTCTTTAATGGCGAAAGAACGGTAAGAGTTCAATAGCATAATTAAAACTAGGGTTTTTAGCTTTATGCATCTCTATTTTAATGTTCCCCCTCTCTGTTCTCATTCTGTTCCTGCAATTGGTTTTAATTTCTAGTAGTTTAAAATTAAGAATTGCACCACTTATTGAAATTGGATATGCAATGAAATTAGGAATTTTTTTGAAAATTTTACACTGTTAATTTATGGTATTTGGAAATTAATTTTGGGGTTTTTTTAATAGGAATGCCAACGACATTTGTTCGTGTATTTTGGGGGTAAGATCGTGTGGGAACCCAACATTCATTATGAAGGAGGTACAATGGTGAGACGAGCAGTTGACATTGAAAAGCTGAGCATGTTTGAGTTTAGCTATTTGCACGACGAGGTGGGTGGGAAAGGTGGTGTCAGTGGGATATACTACTCTAGTCCTGGGAAGAGTATTGCAAATGGGGTTACGAGGATTGAATGCGATGCTCATTTGAGAGAGTTCTTGAACGCACATATTGGATTCTCGCAAGCCAAGATTTTCCTTGAAGCTAATGAACCATTAAATTTGAATGGACTGGATGTAGATGAACCATTGAATTTGAATGAACCATTGAAACTTGGTAATAAGAGTTTGATTGAAGATGTCTGTGAATTTGATGATATCCCAGATGAGTATTTTGCAGACATGTTTATTAATGAACCCTCTTGAGGCAGAGGTGGACAATGCTATGTCATCAGAAGATGAGGACTATGTGCCGTTAGAGGATGAAGAAAACTCAACTGATGATGAGGAGGACCTTCCAGAAGAGGCATATGAGGGTATGGAAGATTACAACAACAACGAATATGGTCTGAATGATGTTGGGTTGTATTAGCTTCAACACATATGCAAAGAGGCTGGAAGAGTATGTTGATGATAGCATGAAGGTTGATGCATACAAATCTGTGTACTCTTACATGATCCCAGCTGTTCCAGGGAAGCACGACTATTATCATGCACCTGGGTTGAGATTGCTTCCTCCAGATGTGCCACCAAAAGCTGGCCGGCCAAAGAAGGCTAGAATGAAAGGAGCTGATGAAATAAAGAAGAAAAGTATACGTAAAGACACTGCTGAGAAAGTAGCTAAACAAGCACCCATATCAATAAAGAAGGGTGGGTCAGTTACATGTTGGAAATGCTTGCAAATGGGGCACAATAAAGCAACTTGTAAGAATGACTTCCACCCAAATAGCCCTTTGTTGAAGGTAATATCCAGTACAATTGTTCTAAACTTAATATACTAAAATACTTATTTCAGATAATAATTACTTCTTTATAAGAATACTTTTTCTTCACATATTGACAGGGCAAAACAAGCTTTGATGGTGGTTATCATAGAAGAGGAGCAGGTGCATCTATACCTACACCACCTGCTGCTTCTCAAGCCTTTACACAAGAACCAGCATCATAAGGAGTAGTCACAGATCTAAGCGATACTTTTGTAGGGTGTTCACAAGCTTCAAAGAGACTACCTCCTAGAGCTCAGATGCCACTTGTAGCTACAAACACCCAACCTTCAAGACCTGCTAGCCATATTTCTTCTACTCAACAATCTGTTAATCGAAAAGGGGCACCATCTAGTAGGCAAAAGAGGAAGACAGATGCTGAGGTGTTAGAGAACATCAGAAATCGTAAACGGGGGATGAGAGAATGAATTTCAAGTTCTTTTGTGTTGAATATATTTCCATTTTGCAAACACTGAATTTTTATGCCTATGGTCCATGGCTGCAAAACATATTAGTGTTAGTGCTATTGGTGCTTCTCTTTTTTGGAACTTTGTTTATTATGTATTAGTGCTCATCTATTTTGGAACTTTGTTTATGCATTATGTAGAGCAATACTGAGCATTAAATGTTGTAAATGCAGCTTATTATTACATCTATTGTTGAGCAGAACATTTGCTTTGAATGTTCCTATTGTTGAGCAGTACATTGGCATCCTATTGTTTCTTTATTGTGAATGCAATTTACAGCACTACAGAGCATTGAATTGTGTTAAACCTGTTAGAATATAAATAACTGTTCCTGGGCCACAACCACAAGCTTGAGCTTTTGGTTGAGTTGGTTCCTTGACATGGTATCAGAGCCTCGTTGACTAAGAGGTCACGAGTTCGAAACTCAGCGCCACCCAGTTTAAAAAAAAATTAAGTTTCACGTGCAAGGCTCGAAAAAGACTACGCCTGCACGTGAGGGGCGTGTTAGAATATAAATAACTGTTCCTGGGCCACAATCACAAGCTTGAGCTTTTGGTTGAGTTGGTTCCTTGACAAAACCATCCACTTTGAATGGTTGAGGATTTACACTTTTCTCTCTGTTTTTTTTGCTTGGAAGTTGCACTCAATTTGAACCCTTTTTTAAAAGTAAAGTTATTTCATTAATTTTTTTTATTTCTTTTCTATTTCACTTAACCTATTATTAGTCAAAAAATTGGACAAACAAAAGTAAGAGTAGATTTGAATAAAACGAATAAGTTCATTAAACATCTTACAACAACCAATTGGTCCATAAAAAAATTACAACCAAACCAAACTGCCACCACAACACTATTGCTTTAGCAACACAACAAACACTACACATTCCTACTAACACACATAGATGGGGTAAGCAGCAACTTCACACAGAACTATTACTTTAGCAAGGCAACAAGCACTACGCACATTCCCAGTAACACACACAGACGAGTAAGTAGCTTCACACAGAAATCACCAGCATCACCCTTTTCTCTTCGGATGACCTTTGCCACTGGTTCCGGAGTGACAACTGAAACAATAGGTGAAGACAACTCAATTGGCGGCCTTATCGCACTGTGTCGACGTAGAAAATGTGGGGAACTATTTGCGTGAAAAGAAGGGGATGGTGTCTGCAGCAAGAAAAGAAAGAAATAAGGTAGTGTTTGGATAGTGGAATTCATTTCAATTTTTGAATTTCAATTCTATAATTTGAAATTCCATAATTCAAATTCCATTTTGGTGTTTGGCAAACACAAGAAATTCAAAATTCATAATTTCAAATCCAAATGCTGTTTGGGAAATTCATAATTTCAATTCTAGAATTCAAATTCTGATGTTGTTTGGCAAGTACTAGAATTTCATTTCAAATCTTTAATGAATAAAATATTGTAAACATAATCTCAAATAACATAATGACCAATTGTTTCATTAAAAAAATACATACTAATGTATGACAATTAGAAAAAGTATTAATTTGTAGTAAATATTTAATATTGCGTAGTTGTTCATAACTCGATCACTCTTCCAAACATAACAAAATCCAATCTAGCTTCTCGTCTTTAGGCAATCCTTGAGCATTTGAAACTCATCTGGCATATTCATAAACTTCTAACAGCTTTCAACACTTGATAACAAAGTATGTCATCCACTTTTGAAACAACGTCATGGATTTCTTTCCCGCTTGCCTAATGCT